AGGTCATTGGAGGGTGCCCAAGTTTCTATACACTTGGAGAAGGGTTCGGTGACCAGGAAGAATCAGAGAGCAAGTTGTTTGGCCTGATTTGAAATCAGAGAAAARGAMTTTCRAAGTTATCTCAGAGAACAAGTGTTCGGCCTGGTTTATAGTTCAAACCAGAGACTGTAAGTCTTTTCTCAGTCCTTTGCTGGGTTATTTTTTGTTGTTTGGGAGGACTGTTAAAGCATTCAAAGCCCACCTCCATTCGGCCCATCTTCTCTACAGTCTGAAAGATTGCTTATTTGAAAATGTTTAAGATTTATTACATGGCACAAAATACTTACCTCATATGTTCAAAAAGAAAACCAATTGTTAATGTTATTGTTTCTATTTTTATTTTGTATGATGGATTTTGGAACATGAAAAAAAAAGCATCCATTTTGGCAACAGTATTATTTAAAGACATTTATAAAAATACCTTGTGAAAAGTTTGCGATACAGGACCATCATTTTCAGATGCAATCAATTCCTCTTCAACTTTCTCCAAGCCTTTGCTAATGGCTTGCATCTCTTCTGCCAAATACTTTAGTTGTATCTGGGTGGAAATAAATGAGTTCAGACATCAAATTATCTACAAGTGAAAGAAAATAATCCAAAAACAATATCATTATACCTTTGATGCAACTTCCAAGCTGACAAGGTCTTTTTGAAAATCTATAGTTTCTGGCAATTTATCAGCAAGCACCTAGAGCATGATGAGTAGAAAACCATTACCAAAAAATGTAAAATATCAAAGAATTAGTAGGGAATCTCCAAGCTCTAGAATGACCAAAAGGGTCCATTTATGGAGATCTTACATAAAGCAGCCACAACCCTACTTAAAATACAATAGGTTCCCTTTTATATAATTATTAAAATTTGATGCATAAAGGCACTAGTATATTTTAAAATATGTACTTTAGAATAGTGATTAAGGGGCGTCACTTTGTCTAGAATTTAATGTGCCCAAATCACTCTCCTAACCAAAGATCTAAATATAGCAAGAGCCAGAATGCAGAATGTAGATGGAGTTTATAATCTTGACCCCCAATTTCTGTTTGTCAGTTCTAGTCGAAATAGATAGGAAACAAGAGAGAAACATGATTTGGTTGGGTGTGTTACAGTCCCACATGCCCAGAATTATATATTGTGTAAAACTGTAAATGGACAATCTTGTCCTTACAAGAATTGTAAAATACAGAGATGTACAGAGGTAGTGTACAATATAGCAAATAAAAGAGAAGTAAAATTACAATATTAACCCCCATCTTCTCTACACTCCCCCTCAAACTGATGCCGAGGCAAGAGCATCAGTTTGTCCATAAGGAAATTATGTCTCGTGCAAGTCATAGCCTTGGTGAAGAGATTGGCCAAATTGAAGATTGGATGACACAAGGAAGAGTGATGTGACCCGTAGTGAGATCTCTAATGAAGTGGCAATCAACCTCAGTGTGTTTAGTTTGTTCATGAAGATTGGGTTTGAGGCGATCTTGATTGCACTCATGTTTTAAGCAAATAAAGGAATAGGGGCTGGATGATCAATGGTTAGGTCATGAAAAATAGCCTTAAGCCAAATGAGCTCACTGCAAATAGATGACATAGCATGATATTTGCCTTTAAGAGATGACTTGGAGACTTTGTGCTGCTTCTTACACTTAAAAGAAATGAGTGAATCACACAAGAAAACACACCATCCAGTGGTGGACCGTCTGGTGTCGGGGAAACCAGCCCAATCAGCATCAACATAAGTAGTCAACTAAGGGGATGAGGAGGATGAGAAGAAGAGTGCATAAGGCAATGTTCCTATAACATATCTGATAATTCGAAGGACTGTGGAGAAATGAGGTTGCCGAGGAGCAGACACAAACTGATTGACTATCTGGACAACATAAGATATATCTAGCCAGGTCATGGTAAGATAGATGAGACTACCAACAAGCTGATGATATAAGTGGTGTCAGGAAGAAGTTGTCCATCATCCATACTGAGAGATTGGCCATCTTAATCAAGTCACTAGCATATTTCTGCTGGTTGACAAAGTATCCCCTAGCACTAAGTAAACAAAAGACCAAGAAAACAGGTCATTGGATCGGGCTCCATCTTGAAGGATTGAATAAGAAGCTACTAGAAGAAGAGTCGAGCCTTGAGGATGCTTGAGAGTAAAGAGAGAATAATCTGAAGAGCTCTATTGGAATCCTCCTTCAATGAAAACCCCACAAAACCTCTCAAACAAAGCTCTTGGAGCTTGTCTAAGTCCATATAAGGACTTCTTAAGTCTATAGACTAAGTTAGGATCACCATAATAGCTTGGTGGGGGTTTCATATACATTATCTCACGGAGATGCCCATGAAGAAAGGCATTCTTTACATCCATCTGGTGAATACTCTAATCCTTAACATTAGTGATGGCAAGTTGTAAGGTTTAGAGATGTTGAAGAGAGAAGAGAAGAAGAAGAAGAAGAAGTGTCGAGAATGCTTGGTGTGGCATTGTTCACACCAAGAGACGTTTCATTTTTTCTTCACAAACAAAATTACAAAGGTTCCCTTGAATAGGCGCCCAAATACAAAATATCACAAAAGGACAAAAATGCTCACACACTCTTAGCACTCCCCCTCAAGCTGAGCATAAATATTTATCATGCCCAGCTTGTTCAAATTGTTGTCAAGCTTTGATTTGGGAACACCTTTAGTAAGACAATAAGCCAACTGGTCTTCAGACCTCACATGAGGTAGACGAATCTCTCCACTAACAATTCTTTCTCTAATGAAATGTCGATCAACCTCTATATGCTTTGTACGGTCATGTTGAACAGGGTTGTGGGCTATGTTTATGGCAACTTGATTGTCACAATATAATATCATTGGAGTATCAATTTGCACTCCCATTTCTGTCAACAAGTTCTTCAACCACAACAGTTCTGAGACTCCATGTGCCATAGCTCTGTACTCTACCTCTGCACTAGATCGAGCCATAACTGATTGCTTCTTACTTCTTCGGGATACAACATTGCCACCCACCAAAGTACAATAGACAGAAGTAGACCACCTATCATCAATAGAACCTACCCAATCAACACCAGAATAGGCCTCTACCTTCAGATGCCCATGATTAGAATATTGTAGTGATACAGTGGACCAGATGTGATCCCATAAGTTCAGTCTTTTATTTCTTATTTTTTGGCTATCATCTTGCTTTCTTGTACTGTTATAGGTAGCAGGGCATTTTTGTCCTTTTACCTAATGTTATGTTAAACAAATAAAAATACTGCTTAGGGCGGCAATAAGAGACTTTTTGTCCATTCCTCTCTAGTTCTTCTTCTATTCTCTTCTATCTTCTTCTCCCTTCTTTTCTCTTCTTCTCTCTTCTTCCTATCGATTTCTGATTTTCTCTTCTACCTAGAAGTTCTGCTAACAGCAGTAACTTCAAGTTGGTATCAGAGCAGGTTTAGTTCTGCTCGCGTATCTCATGTAGGCTCTTCCCAGCCAGCTACATGAGATTTTAATAGGGCTGGAGTTTTAGTTCTGTTCGTGGCCTGATTCTTGGAGATTGGAGTTCGAAGCCTTGCCTAGGATGCTTCTATTCTTGGAGTTTTCCCAGCAGTCAGGAAGAATCAGAGAAAACTCTTTTTGAGGTGAGATTTAGGGTTTAAATCTCGAATTGAAGGTGTCGCCCAGAAGTTTCTGGGTAGTTTTTTTTTCAGCTCTCCAGAAGTTTATAACTGAAAGTAGGGTTTTCTGAAACCTCTGAGAGGTGCAGCTACTTTTTGGAATTTATTGGACTGAGTAGGGTTTTCTGAAATCTCTGAGTGCAGCTATTTTTTTCTGGAATTTTCTGGACCGGGTAGTTGCTTCTCCTCTGTTCTCTTTTTTTTTTTATTCAAAAAGGCAGCCGAGTGTGTTCTTGTACTTCTTTTTGTTGAACTAAACATGGAGTTCTTTGGGGGTGAGCAGAAACCTGCTGGTGAGGGTGCTGAAAGGGCTGTTAGTATGACTGATAACAACCCTTTTCAGGTTACCGCAATCAGGTTTGATGGTTCTAACTATTTGGAGTGGGCTCAATCTACCATGATGGCAATTGGAGGAAGGGGAAAGTTAGGCCATGACTGGAGACACTAAGGAACCAGCCAAGGATGACCCTTCCTATGCCAAATGGGTTCAAGAAAATTATCTTGTGATGACATGGTGGTGCAACTCGATGCAGCCCCATATTAGCAGAAATTACCTTTGGGCAAAGACAACCAAGGATATTTGGGACAATATGAAAGAGACTTATTCACAACCACTTGATGTGGCTAGGGCTTATGAGTTGGAAATTAAAGTAAACAATCTAAAGCAGGGAGTGAAACCCGTATCGATTTATTTCTCTACTCTGAAATCCTTATGGCACGAGATAGATCATCTTGAAACAATTGAGTGGGAGAGTAATAAGGATGAAGCAACCTATAACAAGTTGGTTGAGAGAAATAGAGTTTTTGAATTTCTTGCGGGTCTAAATTCTGATTTTGACATTGTTAGACAACAGCTTCTCACTAGGGAAAATGTTACCTTGTCTCCAGCCTACTCCCTAGTACATAGTGAAGAGAGTAGGAGGTAGGTTATGCTACAAAATTCTCAAATGGAAGTGGCATTAGCAGCTGCAAGACACAAATATAGTGGTGAGAGGGAGAAAGAGATGAAGAATGAAGGAAAGAAAGGTGTGTTTTGTGAATATTGCAAAAAACCTAAGCACACAAAAGACACTTGTTGGAAGCTTCACCCAAATCTTGTACCAGAAAGACTCAGGAATTAGAAGGGAAATGCAAATGCAGCTATTACATCAGTTGGTTCTTCCCTTCAAGGGCCTCGATCTACTTCTTTGGAGGCCTTAGCTGCAGTTAGGGCAGTTTTGACTCAATTGGAGAATGAAGTTGGGCTTGTAGGATCATCTCAATCTGTCTCTACTACTACTGCACCTCCCTCCTCCACATCAGCCTTTTCCCACTCAGGTACAAGAGCCACTGCTTTTCATGCCTCTACTCCAGGTAACACATACACAATAAGAGCTGCAATTTTTCCTTCACCTCTTTTCACAAATAGAGTGTAATCTGACTGACATTGTTTGAACCCCATCTGTTGAACTACTAAATGGAACTTACTAAACCAAGCCTGAGGTGATTGTTTCAACCCATATAAAGATTTTTTTAACCTGCACACCTTTTGTTCACTACCTTTGGCACARAAWCCTRGAGGTTGGGTCATGTACACTTCCTCTTCCAAGTCACCATTCAAGAAAGCATTTTT